GACAGATGGGTTGTCAGTGAAATTTACCTCCCAAATGGAAAGCTTGCCAGCTTTGTGTTAGTTCTCAGGACCAACTGTGGAAAAGACAGCTACAAGTACCTCCTAGGAAGAGCAACAGCAATGTTATTCCAGCCCAAATTGAACCAGGAAGGAATGGTTCCACGCCCTCGGCGTAATTGTCTGTCTTGTCTCGGGAGACCTTATGCTAAAGGACCTCTTTAAGGTCCCTTAGTGTCATGTCATATTTGCATCAGTGATGTTTGCCTTGAGACTGATTGGATTTTTGCCATAATTGCACCTAAGTCCCAGGGGACCAGCCAGAGCCTTAGGTGAATAATTTAAGCATTTAATTTATAATAAAGATAAAGTTTGCAATCAGCATTTCTTGTTCCAAAACATTTCATTTACTTGGTTTTAAAACTGCATAAACTGTTTTAAAGGCAATCTGCTCAATTGGGCGAGTTAATGATATTGAATTTGACCGGGCCAAACGTCACTGGGTGAGCATCCCGTCTATAATCACAGCCATCATCACCGCCGTTTTGTGTAATGTAGATGCAATGCTAATCCTGAGAATAAAAGTTGTCATTCTCGGTTGGCTGACGGCGTGCACCGGAGTCATCACCTCGCTAAGTCTCTCAGTGATGTGATTCCAAGATGACAGTGTAATAAGTGTTATGTGCACAAGGTAATTCAAAACAAATTTGGCTGCAAAAATGGATCGTCTAGGATAGTAAACTCCCGCCTTGTCTCATCTTCTTTTAAGAGAATGTAATGATCCCTAAAATACCTTGTCAAGAAGCTCATGTGGCAGGGGTCAAGTCCTGTAAAATTTATCTGTTGCACCCCCCTCCTCCTCCAAGAATCCCAACTCAAGGACTGAAAATATCAGTGTGCATATTGGTACCCCAGGAACACACAAGACAGGCAGACAGCTTCTGGGAAGCTAAGAAGCCTTTCGGCGTACGAATGTCTCTTAAGAACACCTCACTAGGCTGGGTTTCGCTTCTTTGACTATAGATTGTTTCCTCATGGGAAAATGTGTCTCTTCTACTATAGGATCCCCACGAGCACTGGAGTCTTAGTAAATTCTTATTATTGGCATTTAGGCATTCCAAGGAAGTTATCTCATCTAAACTTTATATTACCCTAAGAAGCATGATGCTATATTTATTTTGTAGATGAGGAGACTGGAAAGAACAGTTAAATTGCCCAAAGCCCACAGCCAGGATTCCAATGCTGGCTTCATCCCACAATTGCCGTCCCTGCACACTCCACCTCTGAACTGTAAAAAAAAAAAAGGAGGAGGTCACCTGGCTTGTGGAGGGGCTTATTTGAGCTGTATTTGATTGAAAACTGCATGGGCTACTAAATTTGTTTTCTTGGGCACAGTTGTCAGAAATGCCTTTCTGTGGAACCCAGCCGTAGGCATTCTTGTGTGGGATGACAGGGCATTTCTCAGTCACCCCAAAGTCCCAGTTCTCCCTTTGGGGTTGCTACTGCGCTTCCCTCTGTAACCTGGGCAGTATGGATGTGGTTGTATCAGTGCCGTTTAATAGTACCGAAAGCTGGATGGATTCAGAACAGCTTTCCTGCTTTTTGTAATTGAGTGTGTCTCACCACAGAGGAGCTCTTTGTAGCCAAGAATGCTTTTAGCTTTAGGCTGATCCAAGCAGGTCCTTCATGCATCATTTTCTTGGTACCATTTAAACATCCACTCAGTGGTACTAGCATTTGGTTTATAAAATCTATCCAAGTAAAGCAATAGTTGCCATCACCTTGCTATAAAAATGAAATAAGATGTACTCCTGATCAGAGAAGGCTTTTCACTAATTATTTTACCCACATAGAAGACTGTCTCTAGGAATGAATGAGAAGACATTTGTGCCTAATTTTACAATATAGCTATGTGATATTTACACCTTTTAGGATGTTTTGGACTGTAGGTAGTTAAGATCCAAGTCAAATGACCTAAAGTATAAGAAATGTATCATTGAATATAACAAGAAGTTTGGGGATAAGAGGTTCTACACTTGGTTAATTCACTTACTCAGTGATATTATTGGGACCTCAATTCTCTCATTTTTCTACTCTGCCATCCTCAGTGTGTTAAGCTGGCCTCTGAGGCCAGTTCCCTACACGGTCCCAAGCTGCTGCCACAAGTCCAAGGAAGCATGCAGATGACTTGCCTAGAGGCAGAAAATGGCCCTCTCCTGTCTCATGTCTTAGTTTAAGGATGAACAAAACCTCAGAGCTCCCTAGCAGTTCTCCCATCCCATCCAACCAGCCAGAATTACACTGTATACCCATGCCTAAATCCATCACAAGGCAAAAGGACCAAGACCACCATGATAGGCGGGAGCCCATCAAAATCCACACCTCAAATCTCCCCCAGAAGGAAAGATATAGGATCTGGTAGAAAGGAAACAAAGAGTTCTTTTAGCAGAGAGGAAGCATTGGGGTGAGGATGGGTGCGTGCTGCGCAGGCAGCTGACATTGTCTCCTGTAGTGTTTGTAAGAATTATGTAGACCCACAGGTTCCTTTCTGGACACAACTAGAAGATTCCCGGATTCTAATTCCCCATCCTCTCCTCACTTAGCTTAGTGTTCCTCTTAACAAGAATAGGAAGTTATAAAGGAAAAAGATACCATAGTAAGAAAATCCCATTCTTATTCCCTTTTGGCAAAAGGCCTGGTATTTATATAGTATTAAATAGAGGAAGAACAAATTTGACACATCTTGTAGCACCCACTCGAAAATCCTAATGTCTGAATTCATTGTGGGTATAACTAACATTGGGGCAAGCCATCCCCAGGGAATACAAAGGGCAGAAGACCAGTGTGACTGGGTGGTATTGAACACACCCACACCTCCTAAGGGTGCTATCTGTTGCATTAAGTTATTCTCAGGAACAAATTTACTGTAGCATTGTAAATTCCTGTACTATGTGACTCTTGGTGTCACACATTTAGTGAAAGATAGGGCTCAAACAGTTCGGCCCCAGCATGAATTCCACAGGACCCCAAGTTGTTTTTCATCCCCATCTACACCCTATTCCCTCCCATGCCAAGCCCTCAGCATTCGAAGGTCTAAGCAGGGAAGCACTCACCAAGGTCACTTGGGGCGGAAAGCTAGAAAGAATTCTTTCTTGTCCTTTCATTCTTCTCTCAAAGGGAGAAACATGGCAACAGTTGTAGTGTTAAACCCTGCTTTCCAAGTCCTCCAGGATGGGGAATTTAAAAGTTCGGTGGTTCAGACAGTTCCTTATTTACTGGTGCACTCAAGTCATTTTGTGACCCAGAGTTCTTTTCTGCCGAACTCCCTCATGATGTAAATAAATTACTTAAGTGGATTGAGTCCAAATCATTAATAACCTCCACTGGCATGATTCATTTGGGCTTCATTACGAGAAAAGAATTCAACATCTATTTCTCAACCCAACAGTTGTTTACAACGCACTTCAACCTAAGAGTTGTTGTCCCTACAGGGCCAGAGTGAAAGGGTTTGGGGGAAAAAAAGAGAAAAACAGCTTTGCAATCAATACTTATGTTCTGCCTGGACAGAGGGAAATTGAAGTGCTCTGAGGATAGACCTAATTGTCAGCATGCTTTGAAGTCCAAGATACTAAGGGAGGAAAATGTATATATGCCAGATAGGAAAAGGCTATGGTTCAGTGTTCATTTTGACATTTATACATACATGCTAAAAACACGCACATTGCAAGAATGGACTATTAATGTAAGAGATTTAAACTCAGGGATTGCTATGTGGAGTGACTTGAGTGGGTCAGTGTTCTCCAGAAAAGCTTTGAGAAGCTGAGCAACTTCTGCAGTCCTGTGGAATACGATTCCTATACCGTCATTTTACATTTGCTTTTTAAAAGCCCACCAAACCTCTTGAGGAATACTATAATATTAAAATATTGTGGCGCCCGATGCATTTTATGCAGTCCAGTCATAAGATGTTACCAGACTTTCTGCCCATAACTACCTGAACATAGTTCCTTTGTTTTATGGGGGAGGGAAAACAGAGGATAAATTAAATCATTGGACTTCCATCTAACTTGGAATGACTTTGATTTTTAGAAATAAGACTCTGATTTCTGTTTCATCTTATGTAAGCTGTTTAAAGATAGCCAGGTTGGGTGAGTTTTGATTGTACTATTGGGGAGAATCCTGGACACAGCATCCAACGTTCTGACCCAGCATGAACTAGTAAGGTCCTCTCATGAGGTCTGAAGCTGTAGGGAGGGAGATGATCTTTCAGTCCTGCCAACTTCACAGGACTATGATGAGAGAACTGTTGAGAGATATCTTCATTTAAGCCATGCAGCAGACAGTAGTCACTCAATAAGTGCAGGCTTTGAGGAGGCAGTAATAGCAAAACACTGCACACAGTGGGAAACAAAACAGCAATTAAGCCAGCGGTTACTTCCCCCCAAACATTGGCCATTTGTGTTCCTTCTCCATAATACTTGCCATATGCCCCTATGGCCTGAACTGTCATTTACTTAATATTGTCAATGGACTTTTTAAAGAGCGAAAGGATTAATTTTAAGAGGAAACTTCATATTACTTCCGTGATGGGAAGACTGGTATGATCTGACACAAACTGGAAAAATACACACTATTAAAACGTAACAATGTAATGAATTTCTAGTTAGCTATTATTGCCTGATAAAGGCTCGGAGCCTGAGGCTGGCCTTTTCTTTCACAGGCAAGATTAGCAAGTGATGAGATTGTGTTAAAGACATTCCACAGGGAAGCCAAGCTTTCCCGCTGTGAGATATATTATTTCATGCCAGATCTGAATACCTCCAAACTCACTCTCTTTCCACCAGGCATTCTTTGGGAAACCTAAACATTAAAGAAGTGAAGTTCTCTGACCCCATCGCCTACTTCTTTTAGCTGCTTACACATGAAAGGAGCCAATCCATGTATCTGTCCTTCCATTTTCTGCTTCATTCTAACCTTGCCCCACCCTAAATATTTTTCCACAGGTCAACGGCAAAGACTTGTCCAGAGCAACTCATGACCAGGCTGTGGAAGCTTTCAAGACAGCCAAGGAGCCCATAGTGGTGCAGGTGTTGAGAAGAACACCAAGGACCAAAATGTTCACGCCTCCGTCAGAGTCGCAGCTGGTGGACACGGGAACCCAAACCGACATCACCTTTGAACATATCATGGCCCTCACTAAGATGTCCTCTCCCAGCCCGCCTGTGCTGGATTCCTATCTCTTGCCAGAGGAGTAAGTAACCTAATCTTGAATTGAACCCCTAACTCATTAAGTAAAGAAGTATTTCCAAGTTGTTTTTTTGCTCTTCCATGTGGCAAAAAAAATTAATGCACCCTATAATTTTCCTCCAAGTTGCCCGTATTTAATTTTATTGTTTATAGAGGCAATAAATCGAATCCTGCTCAAAACCGCTCTGACATATTAATTACTTTATTATAACCCTGGAGCAGACTTATTCAAATTATATCCTAAGAACAGAATTACTTACAAATGTTGTAAAAGTTGTTTCAGAATAAAATTTAATCACCCCAAATGGTAATTTGAAGATCCTGCAGTTATTACTAGAGGGAATGCTGATCATTCTTTTAAATAGACAACAAAGTAAGTTGTGTGTGTCAAGAGAGCCCTGGAGGTTGTGCCTTCTGCTTTCTTGGGTCTCATTTCAAGCCTGGATCCATGTAATAAGCCCGCACATGCCTCATCTAAGTACTGCATCAACCAATTAAATAACAGCTGCAACTCAGCACGCCACATGGATTTCTTTACACACACCTCTTCTCCCAACTTATTTCTGCCAGCGACAAAGATTCTTTCAGAGGCTTCAAGTGGGACAAACCTGATGCTCAAAGTGATTTCTAGTTGTGGAACTTGGGTAACCTACTTTGTTTTGTGGGGCTGTATTTTTCCTATATTAAAATGGGGATAACAGTATCAATCTCTTATGATCGTTGAAGGATTAAATGAAACAGTATGTGGGAAGTGCCCACGGGACATATGGTAAGCACTCGGTACATGATAGCAGTGATCTCCGTTAATTTAGTGGGTGAAGTAAAATATTCAGGAAAAAATGAAGAGCAAGACACTTTCTGTGATAGACTGCTGGCCTCCAAGGCGTCCAGTTCGACATAGCTTTAAACGTAGCTTTTCCTGTGTGACTTCGCACATCTGAGGACACAGCCTCTCCAGCTGATGTTAGGGTCACCCCTGTGTTTTCCCATCTCAGCTCCATCTCGGATCAGATCATTTATTTCAAAGGGCATTTTCACCTCTTACAGGAAAATCCACTGGGTAATACCTGTTGGATTCCTAGTAGTAAGTCAGTAGCTGGAGTGAGCACTTGTTTCCTGTGGTTCTGTCAAGTTCCAAATAAAGGCTTGCCCTTCATCCCTTGGTTTTAGTGGCTAGCTGTCACTGGAACCCAGGGCTAATTCCCCAGGCTTGACAGAGTAGGTTTGGCGGCAGCTGGTAGCGTAAAGACAGAGGACAGGGCATCCGTCTCACATTCACTCACAGTGTGCACATGTGCAAAGCACTATTATCGCCTTTATTTCTCATGACTGTCCATTTATACAGATAAGGAACTGCAAACTCACCAGGTTCCACTGAGCTGATGGAAAAGCAGGTCAGTCAGACCCTGACTCCCAGCTCTGAACCACAGTACCCTGTAGTGGCCCATTCGATCCTCTGGAACAACTGGCTGATTCACTGAGTATGATTATCCAAACCATTTATCTGACGTTATAGACCAAACTGCCTCACATTATTGATGAGGCCTTTAAGGCTACTTCTGACTCTCAAATGTTGACCTGTCACAGTGATGGGCCTTTTAGAAGCTAAACCTGTAATTTCCTCTTAAGTCTAGTTAACATGACATGACTTATCCCCTGGGGGCAACTTGAGAAATGTCAGAAGAGTCCAGAGGTCAGGCCTCTTCGGGTTCTGGCTAGGTCAGACAACAGCAAGAGCGTGCATCGGGACTGAACGGGGAATGTTAAGTTGATGCGTGAAAGCCCAGACCTTCCAACAGTAACCTCAGTACTAAAAGCCCTTTAAGTGCAGGCAGTCTATTTGCCTGATGGGTCCAGAAAATTGAAAGCCAGCCCTTGTTTGAATGGCCACTCATGTCTGATCTGTTGTTTCAAAACTAAGTGCCTGGCAGGGAAGACTAGGGCCCATTGATTGCTGTGCTATGACCCTTGAGGACGTGAAGGTTTGGGTCCCCAGCCAACAATCAGAGGCTGAAGCTTGGCATCTGGCACCGTGGACTGTTAAGCTCCTTTCAAAGCCACTGATCGAGTATGTTATGACTCCCACTGCCTTTGCTCCTTGAGGTTCCTTTAATGACGCTTCCAAAGATGTCATGAGTTCTGTGGATTGTGTTTTGCATATGTTGTCCTGGGGAAACACAAGCTTCCAGTCTCCTAGCAGAATGAATATGTATGTGTACTCATTATATGTAAACATATACACACATATGCATTGATGCCTACATGTTTGCACATACGTTTCAACCATGTAAGTGCATACTGCATTGTGATATCAAACATTTTTGTGGGTAACATTCAAAAAGACACTGTCCTAGGTAACAGCGGAAGAGTTTCAGTCTCAGCCTTTTGAACTGGTCTCAGAAGCCAGCACATATCTTAGACTGTTGCCTGGGCTCCAGCCTAGTTTTCTGCAGAGATTAAATCTAACAATGAAGCAATAAGGAGTAAAATACTGTCCTGTTTCCTGCGTACAGATGGAGTTAGAAATTAGTCACGTTGAATCACATGACTGGCAGGCTCCGGGATGGGCTCTGCAAACAACAAAGCCCATCAGGCTGGCACTTTGCATCTTAAGTCCTTCAGGAGGAAATGGACTAAAGGCAAATGGTAAAATTAGGATGATGGAGGTCCTGACCGTGCTGAGAGCCCCATCCAGAGGGAAGTGAGTCATGAAAGGGCCCACACCCTGGGAACTGTTCCCGTGCCACTGGCCTGACAATGGGTGTAAGAGAAACAGATACTGACACTGGAAACAGGGCTGTAATGATGTTGCATCTCTTTTCAGGCATCCCTCAGCCCATGAATACTACGATCCAAATGACTACATTGGAGACATCCATCAGGAGATGGACAGGGAGGAGCTGGAGCTGGAGGTATGAAGAACATCCTTGTCTCATTTTAGGAGTCATTATTAAGAACACAGAATGCCTAATAAGTTCTCTATAAACATAAATTAGTTTACAGATGCCAATGGAAAAATAACAAAAGCAGAACCACTTTTACTTATGCCCTTTGAAAGGCACAACTGAGATTCTTCTTCCCTCCTTGGAAACAGAGCTTAATAATCAAGTCCCAAAAGCAGAAATGTAAGGTTTTTTTTTTTTTTTATTTGAATCACTTAAAAGATAGGACAGTAAATCCTGTTGTCAACCTTTGAATCCACATAATCCATATATTCTTGTAACTAATATAAGCCTCCTCACCTTCCTCCCTTTTATGTCATCACCACTCTTTACTCAAAGGCAGATGGCTCAAGAGTAGGTGGATAAATTACTTCAGTGAATGCTAGCCTTCCCTAACAAAAGGGTTTGTTCACTGCTTCACTTGCTTCAAGCTTGCTAACACTGATATAGAAGAAATTAAACAAATCCATAACTCTTCTTAAGTGTTGCTTGAGGCCACACAGGATTAGGTAAAGATTCAAGATGCTGTATAATGTCAAGTAGGTCTTTGTTAAGGTTTAAAATATTTAGAGGACACCAGGTTGCCAACAGAGTTCTACTTCCCATTTTCCTTTAATAAGGGTGATAGAAAATACAGGAAACACTAACTTGTATAATATATTTATATTTTGGGGGAAACACTTTTATATTTCAGTGGGGTTTCAAAACATATAAGAGCATTTTTGAAAGCTGATCTTGTGGAATAAAGTAAAAAGACACCTGATGTTGACAGGCAAGCCCTTGGGTACCATCAAAAGGTCACCCAGGAAAAAAATCGAACATTTTATCCAATTTCATGGCTAACTGTTGTGTAATCTATGCTGTCCTACCAATACTTCTGAAGCTGAACTGTTTAGTGGCAGTAGGTTCTGTGCAAGGACAGAAGCAGTCGAATAGTAGAAAACAGCTGTGTTCCTCTACTTAAAGTTACCAAGAGTTCTTATTCCAAAACAGAAGTTAAAAATCAATAAATGTGGGCAAACGATGACTTAACTGACGGTTAGCCAGATACAGTCAAATGAAAGGACTTGTCGCCAGTGGCATGACTGACTCAATGCAAGTTTTTAAAACTTTAAAATTTTCCCTAAATGTACCTGTTCTAAACAGGAATGGCCACTATAAAAACTTGACTGTTTCTGCTTGCTGTCAACTACTTACCAAAGCGCTTGCCGTTTAACGATTGCTCCAGGAAATGAAGTTTTGTCATTTTCAAAAATCAGGATTCTGCCTCTTATTTAGTGTCCTATCACCCCAGCTTCAGGGATGTTTGGTGAAGCAGCCATGACTCCTTCAGGACACTTTTCCTTAATTTGTTAATGTATGTTCCTTCCAAAGGGGGTTCATAAGGAAATACATTTGAGAAATGCCAGATCGAAGAAAACTAAACAGATTTCTTGGCGGACTTCTGAGAATCTTGACTATCTAACTAGCATTGGTAAATCCCCTGGGGGAGTGGGCAGAATTTCCCCCACCTCTCTGGCCAAGTACCTGTTTATACTTCCTCAGTCTACAGTTCTCTGGAACACTGTTGGAGAAACACTGCTCTCCAAACAGAGGGCTATTCAATCATCTTTATGGGACGACACTGCTTTTTGATGATGTAATTGTGGCAAAGTAGAGTTCTTTTAAAAAGCTGTCAAGTGTTTCAGAAGCTAGAGTTACGAAGTAGTAGAGACTCTGCAGTCTTTGGTATTTAGTTAAACTTGACTTTATAGCAGTGGGTTCTTTAACTCTTTTTTTAGTTTCTAATACCTTTGAGAATCTGATGGAACCTGCAGCCCCTCTCTGGAAAAACTGTGCTGCCTGTGAGAGCTTGCATATGGTTTCAGGAGAGTCGCTGAGCCCCCACAGTATCTGCCCAATTTGGGCCATTCTGTCTTACAGTTTTTTTGTTGTATCTGAATATCACCAGAACTCTTATGTGCTTCCTATTTCTCCTTAACTCGACTCAACTTATTTAAACTACGGTAATTTTATTTTAAAGGAAACGCTATACCACTGCCTCAAGCAGAAAGTCAGCATCCATTGTCTTAAATAGAAAATCCCATACAATTAAATACAGTGGACACAAGCCAGTGTTATTAAATCCTGGTGCTCAATAAGGGTGCCTGCTGAGGGTTGGGAGCCTGGGGCCACTACATCCTGCCTTTTCTCTAAGGAGATTAGCTAGTATTAAAGAAGTGTTAAGACTAGCCTGAACTGAGTCTTTCTCCCCAAAGCCTGAAGCACCTGAGAGCATCCTGCTTTCAAAGCAGGAGTGAGCCACTCAGAAACTGTTCCCTAGAACCCTGTTGTTTAAAGTGTGGTAGGAGGACCAGCAGCCTGGCTGGTCAAAGTAGAGTTCTCACCTAGGAGATGTGGGAACTGCACAAACTTGGTCCCCCAGATCTTCAGAATCAGAATCTGTACTTTAACAAGGTCCCTAGGTACCCCAGTGCCCGTTACCCTGACCTACAGGCCGCAGGCCCAGATAAAGAAGCCCAAGCTATCATTTCCTCTTGTTCTCTTGAGTTACTCCAGCGAGGCTTTGGTGGTGCCTTTCACTCACTGCAGTGTAGAGATGTGCCCCTGAGTCACGATTATTGCCCATGCTGTCCATGCAGAGTAAAATTATCAGGGCCTAGGAATGACTGAACCCCTCGTAGGTATGTGACACTGTGTTCCTAAGACTGCTTCTCTCTTTTCATGAATAAAAGCAGACACAACGCAGGTGTTTAGAAAACTAGCCTAGGATTAATATTTTAAGCTAGACCTTGGATGCCATCAGACTTTATATTCGTGTTTATTTTCAATTCTGTTCATTTTACTGAGCATCTCTTACATTAAATATACTGTTTGGCCCTAGAAATGCAAAATCAGGAAGTCACCACCCTGCCTGCCTGTAAGGAGCTCACCAGCCATTAGGACCATTAGACATTAGCTTTTCATTTCTTCTTAAACAACCAGAATAGGGGCATTCTCCATCTCCAGCTCCTTTGAACAGTTACCATGGAGTACTGTGAGTCCATAGCAGCCAGGAAGTCTTGCTTTAACATTTGGTCTTTTGTCCACAGCAACTCAGATGTCACCAGGTCATTTCTGTTACCTAAGTGCCTTCTCATAAAATGAACCTGGCAATTTTGGACAGATGTTGTCCTCAGTTCTGTGGCGGTGATGGCTCAGGCCTCCTAGGCTAGGAACGCATCAGCTGAGGCCTACTGCAGCCACTCACCGGAAGGGTCTCTCCACTACAGAACAGTAGCTGTACCTCCAGCATTGCTGTTTCAGAGGTGTGTCTCTGAAAGGGCCTCTGGTCAGTCCGTTTGAGAAGGTTAATTAATAAAACCCATGGGCTGAGAAGTGAGTTTCCTAAAGTGGGCCCACTTTCCAGGGAGACTGGCATGTGCCTGTCATCCCTGCTTCTGCACGAGATTTCTTAGAACAGTCGCAATCTGCCTTCTAGATTCCATCCTGTTTTGTTCTAACTGTTGGGTTCAATTTTAGAAAAATCAGGCTGTTATATTTAAGTAAGGGGCCAATCTCAACAGACCACTTATCATCTAAATTGAATTGGACTAAAGTCAGCACCTTCCAAAGAACAACTAGTTCCATGGATGTTATATACAAGGAAAGTATGTATGAGTGTGTTGAGATTTTATTAAAGCAAATGCACAGAGAAAAACAGATGTTCTGGCCAGACACGGTGACTCACGCCTGTAATCCCAGCACTTTGGGAGGTCAAGGTGGGTGGATCACAAAGTCAGGAGTTCGAGACCAGCCTGGCCAACATGGTGAAAGCCCGTCTCTACTAAAAATACAAAAATTAGCCAGGCATGGTGGCACGCGCCTGTAATCCCAGCTACTTGGGAGGCTGAGGCAGGAGAATTGCTTAAACCCGGGAGGTGGAGGTTGCAGTGAGCCAAGATTATGCCACTGCACTCCAGCCTGGGCAACAGAGCAAGACTCTGTCTCAAAAAAGAAAAAGAAAAGAAGAAAGAAAAGAAAAACAGATGTTCTCCCTTTTAAAGTACACAAAATGATCATATTTAGGTAAGTGTCAAATCCCTGTTATTATGAGACTGCTTAGAGTTAAAGGGATTACACCCAAGTGTACCCTAGGGTTGAGCAGACAAATAATTACCCATAAATTTTCAGGCACTGAACACCTGCTCTACATCTTCCTGTAGGCAATTAAGAAAGAAAATACATGCCCAAAGAAGGCTTTTTCTTTTGTCTATTGTTTTAATTTCCCAGGCGATTCATCAGAAGCATCCTATGTAGGCTGTGAAACTGCTGTCACCTGTATTGTGTTCTCATGATGTAATGAAAGGAAAGGAAAGCTACAATTTCAATAGGAGACTAAAATGCTCTCCAAACCTGGTTTTTTGAGGAAGCTAAGTATATCAGAAGGGAACCGGGATTGACCTGGAGATTATGCAGGATGCCCCAGCCAGTCTAGAATTTTTTCTTTAGCCTTTGAGGCACAGGACAAGGAAGAGATCCTTAGGGAACCTTTCCTGGTCAGCCCCATCCTGGATTGAATTGGCTTCCTCATTACTTTTCCTGTGTAATCAGGGTGTTTGCCACTTTTTGTACTATGCCTTCTAACAGCCTGCGTGGCAGTGCCCCAGATGTTTACATGCCTCAATCTTTTCTCCAAATGTCACCTCTCCAGAGGAGCTTCCCTGGCTACTCTCTGAAGCACCCCTATGTCACCAGTACCATTATTTACTTTTTTTTTTTGGAGACTGTGTCTTGCTCTGTCACCCAGGCTGGAGTGCAGTGGTGCAGTCTTGGCTCACCACAGCCTCTGCCTCCTAGGTTCAAGCAATTCACCTGCCTCAGCTTCCCAAATAGCTGGGATTACAGGCATGTGCCACCACACCTGGCTAATTTTGATATTTTTAGTAGAGACAGGGTTTCACCTTGTTGGCCAGGCTGGTCTCAAACTCCTGACCCTCAAGTGATCTGCCTGCGTTGGACTCCCAAAGTGTTGGAATTACAGGTATGAGCCACCACACCCAGCCCATTATTTACTTCTTATCTGTCTTCCCCACTAGAATACAAGCTCCCTGAGAGCTAGGCTCTGGTCTAACTCATTTACCGTATATTCCTTTTGCCCAGACCATGTCTGGCATATAGTAGACACCCATAAATGTTTTTTGAATGAAGGAATAAAATGCCTCGTTACTGTATCTCAAACATAAGGTCCTTGAGGGAAAATGCAGTCTTTAGAGATATGTCTATATAACACCATGGAAACTGTTGAGATAACTTAAATGTGCATAGCAACCTGGACCAATAAGTTGAAGAGTTATGCTTTAGTGGCCAGTCTTCCTGGAGGTGGATAAAGCATTGAAATGAGTCTTTGAGATCCCCTTTGATTAAAGTAGCTGATGCTGAAACAGAGAGTTTGAATCAACAAGGTGGAATGGCCCTCTTAAAACTCTTAATTGGAATATCGTTTCAATTTCATCTGAAATGTCAGGCTTAGCTGTTCGTTTTTATCAACAGTCCATCTAGACCAGTAAGCAACAAGATACCAGTAACAGGGGTAGCTGTAATCCAGATAATGTTACTACATTATTCATACCAGTTTGATTAATAGTCTTCTTTGAAATCTTATCTCCATCACAGACAGATACATATTGATAACTTCTATGCTTTCAGCAATATGCTCAATTGTGTAAAACTAGATCGGTCACACAGAAATGCTGAGAATTTACAAACCACCCAGTAAGTTTGAGGAATTTTACTTTCCACTGAGTCCCCAAAATATTGTGTCTTAAAACCACAGAATGGCTAAGTTTGTCGAAGTTCAATGACTTGCTCAAGGCAACCTCCCTCATTAAAGATGGAACCAAACTGGTTTTTCATTTGGATCATCCTGCCTTGGACTCTGAAGTTCATTCAATTTTATTGAGCACCTACTGTGCACAGCATACAAGTCTAGACACTGCTTTCATTGCACAATTCATTATTCAGCTACCATTGCCTTACTGTAATCTTCTTTGTAAGAAAACAAGGTAAACCATAAATCCATACAGATACAGAGACAATACCAGCTCTTACACTGTTGTTTTTCAAGCGCTTCTGAAAGCCTATTATGGATCACTCCGTGCTTAACTGTCAGCAACCAGATTCTTCTCTGTGATGTTGAACCACCCCTTGAAAATTAAATGACCAAGGCTAAGTCGTATCCTGTGCCTTCTAAATGAAGCTTTTCTGGCTTTTGTTTAGAGTTCCAAGAAGGGCCAGATAAGGCAAGGAAATATTATAGCCCACACCTTCCTATCTCACATCAGTATCAAGTAAATACCTAGAGTAAGCTCCAGAATACCCTTTGCTTTGTTATTTGGAAATGTGCTTCACCAGCATTTGTTCATCCAATATCACTCATCCTTTGATAACACAGACCACTTCTAAGATAGAAAACTGCTCCTGGAGTACTGCCCTTGAAGTGAAACACTAGCATTCTTATGTCTGTTTTAAAGATCAAACTGAGAACGTGACTGTCCCCATGACGGTTTGTCCTGAGAGGATTTGTGATGGGAGTCAAAGGCTAAACGCAGTGTTGGGCTTTACACCATTCTGGTGTTGTGAGGGAGTATGTGTTCTAAAATGAACACTAACTGGGAATAGAACTATTAATGGGACCTTCTTCTCTCCCATGCAAAAATGTCAAACAGTTAGCATTTGTGAAGAATCGATTACTAATTTTACTAAACACAGGTGAGGTTAGTGGCAGCGTATAAGGAAGGAAGCATAAGTGGTTCTTAATTCAGATGAAAATATCTTAAAACAATAAATGTTTTGAGTATCTTTTGTTCCAGCCTGAAACTTTGTTCTAAGAAAGTTTTCTCCCTGATTAAGTCATAAAGATTTGTTGGAGGAATTGACAGATTCAGAAGGAAAAATGTACAGAAAAAATAATCATGATTAGCAACATGAACTAATGCCAACTACTCTATAGCTTAATAGTCCTCCAAATCTCTATCAATCAAAATACTGACAAAAGATAGAACAGAAATGCTTTTCAGGTTAGGTTTTATCAAAATTGTATTCTAAAGTCTCATGACATCAGGCCACCTACATGTTTGGTAGTAGGCCAAATAAATCTAATCATTTTCTGCATAACAGAGTGTCAATATCACATTCTTTAGGAGTCTTTTTCTTACTTGTATACTCCTCGTACCTTATGCCTCTCAAATGGAACACTCAGATCTACAAGTGTATTACAGAGTTGTGCTTGTCAGACTGTGCTGAAAAGCCACAAGGACCAGGTTGGCTGGTTTGTTTCCTTTTCAGTCTGTCTCTAACCAATACGTGGTCCTACTGTGTGTGACTGTGTAACTCACCCCATCTGCGACACGTTCACCAACACCTGAACTGGTCTACACTTTGTCCAGTGAGACAAATCTGCTAATCATGCCCTTGGTTATCATGACAATGTCCATTTGCTATAGAGGTTTCTGAACACTTCCCTTAATTTCTGTGCTCACCTCATCATGACCAGGAAGCACGCTTTGAGGAGGAGGAGGAGCAGCAGCAGCAGTAGAAAGTCCATTAGAACTATAGTATCTTCTGTACTTCCTTGAGAGAGAATCACCTTGGCAGCCAGCCATTCAGAAAAAGCTGCAACTTGAATTATCAGCATCTCTCGTCTTTCTCATTTCTCTTCCTACAATCTTCCCACTGCTGTCTCTGCTTGGGTTGCATGTGGACCTGTTTCAGCAAGATGTGTCTCCTGCAGGGATAGCACCGGGCTAAGTGGCAGCATTTGAGCTGCATCTGTGCAGTTGGACCTACACAGTCATGATATTTTGTTGATTCACACTAACCTCAAGGAAATGTCAAAACTGAAAAAGTGTTCCCTGATACTCATATTCAAATGAAGTGTACCCTAAGAGAGACAGGGGGATGTGTTTGAAACATAAGAGGATTGATGTATGCCTAGTATATTTGTGGTATGCAAATTGGTTATTCCAAAGTATTTAGAAACCCAAGTATTTAGGCTTGCTCTCGTTGTTAAATATGACCCTTAAGCCCACTTAGTATATACCTCAAAAATGAAGAAATTTCCACCTAACTCAATGATCAGAAATTAATGGGGTTTCATTTAATGAGAATTTACCATATTGATAGAGCTATAATTAGGAAGCTGTTGAATTAATTAACATATCAGTGTTCAGAAAATAATCTTATTAAGAGGGACACTGAAATATACACACTCTACCACAATTTCTTGTGACTTCAGGCAAGTAACCATACCTGCATGTAATTATTATACTACCGGTGACCATGGACTTTCTACGGGTCAGTCAATGTGCTAAGAGCTCTGTGTGCCTCACGTTGGTGACTCTGGGAGGCCGGATGACAGGTACTAGTGAGGACACAGACCTTAGATATACTAACACGCACATGATCAAGCTGCTAGAAAGAGGGAGAGTTGGGTTCTGAACATCTGTCTTCATAGTTACAACTCTTCCCCACCACGTTATACCCCAGGTATCAGCAAGAGAGACTGCTGAAAGTCATTAAGATCATGGCAGTCCTCACTTGAAACCTTTTGATGGGTTCCCATGATGTTGAAATAAAATCTTAGCTGCTCATGCTGGCCTGTGGGCCCTGCCTGGTCTAGCTCTGCCACCTGGCCACCCTCAACCCACTTCTCTGTTTTTTGTACACGGGACTCTGGCCATGCTGGCCCAGGGCCTTTTACACCTGCTGTTCCTCCACCTGGGAAGTGTCCATGGTGCCTGGCACCCTGCCTTTCATCGGGGAGAGTCCAAGAAGTATCTGCCATATAACTGCTTTGAGCTTCTCCACAGACAGCTACATTCTCCTTCCCCTCTAAGAAGACCCTTGAGAGAGGCCACTTGGAAATAGTCCCCAGATACAGTGTCACGAAGACCCCATCTCAGAGCCCCTCCATTCTCCTGCTTGGTGATTAGATAACACTAAAAATTAGACCAAAGGATCTGCCAGAGAACTTATCACGTGGCCCTTCAAATAGGCCTGCAGCTTAGAGCTACAAAACTTGCACAAGTCATTGGCAAAGTGGGCGGGGGAGTGACTTAGCCTGGTTACACTGAGAGCCCCAGGATGGCCCCCCTAAGGCTCCGACAATTTCCAAAGTTCTGACTTCATTCTGAAGCACAGACTAATTGGCAAATACAATAGCATGTGTCCCGCATTTGGGCTCACTTTGCTTTTATCTTATTTAATTTGCAGTAATAGCGGCTGAAACTAATTTCTCAACTGTAAATATCACAGCTGTTGTGGAGAACATTAATTGCAGACTATCACGTTACCCTCCTTTCTTGGATCAATTTATGTGTAATCTGTTTGCAAGTTCTATGACTGTGAATATTAAGGGAACGCAATGTGAAATAATCTAACCAAACACATTGGAAACATTTGTACTGAAATGGCTGGTTGGTTTGGGGTATGGAAATATTCTTGTTTGTGGCAGACATTGAAAAAGTGCTTTTGAAAAGCCCTGCCCCAGAAGTCTTGACTCTGAGTGAAATATGGGTAATTTTTCTTTGGGGGATCAATGAAATAACTATTTTCAAAATGACTTTATATTGAGTGAAAGGTCAGAAATGCCCTAGGCATTGATCCTGTGTCCATAATCACTTTTTTTTAGTAAGTTAACCGGCCCTACACAATTGAATGCAAAGAAATCCAGTTCATCATTTAAAGATAATATTTTTAAAGCATTTGACATCCCCTCAACTCGCATTGCCTGCCGCAGTCTCACTGGGAATGCCTTTCTTTGTCTAGGAAGTGGACCTCTACAGAATGAACAGCCAGGACAAGCTGGGCCTCACTGTGTGCTACCGGACGGACGATGAAGATGACATTGGGATTTATATCAGTGAGGTACAAAGGCTGATTTTGTTTTTGTAACTATCATATCAAGACCAAAAGGGTTTTTTTTTCTTTTATATGTTCACCAACCCTAACCTACCTCATCAAGAACTCTTTGGAAAGACACAAATTATTCTGTCCCCCTCATCACACTCCATGGCATTGCATCTTTCCATGGAGGTTAAGTTCTAATGTAAGTACTTAAGGCAAAATTACCCTTGAGAAGCCTGCAAATCAGCCATAAAATGGAGCCGTTTACATGGTTTTGTGTGTTTAGCCCCGAGGGAACAGCAGATTCACATTTCCCAACTCATGTTCATTGAGTGGAATGGTGGGTGGAATCACTTACACTTTTTAAAGCCTCTCTCTCTGTCTCTCACTCTTTTTTTTTTCCTCTTAGTGGAGTATATGTAGTTGAGTTCATATAAGTTAAATGTGACTTTTGTATGTACTTATCAAACTACATGCATGCTGTTTTGACCTTCCTTGAGAAGATACAGAAAGCAGCTGGTTTCAGCATGGAAACCTTACAGTGCACACGCATCCTTGCAATCACAGAAACCCAATTTTGTCAGGAAATAAAATCTGTCGCTACGGAACGAACTACTAGACTCCGAAATTGTCTCTTTGGTTGTATGTCATCCACCAAGCTTAAGTTAACCCAGCCTTTCTGTGTTTGGGGGCATCCCTCCCCTTATCAGTCCTCCTTGTCCCAATGATATTTCAAATTTAAAGTTATTTTCCAAATTTTAATACAAGTATTTGGTATAAAATAAGGTATGGTTGCTAGTCATCATAATGAAGGGTATCCTTTAACCTGTTCTACATCATTGATTTTATTTTAATTACCATGCATGCAACAAAAGTCAGCTGTGCCTCCTCAGATCAGCAGAGCCTGCACACACTGCTATGTAATAGAGTTACTATGCAGGGATCCAAGAACCAGCCCTAGAAAGGGCTTAGAAGCAGATCACCTCATGTTTGCCTCTCCTTGCACGACACTAAGTCTTGTTTATTTCTGTGCAAAACAGAAACACAGGGATGAGCATAACTGTGTTAGAGATGGCTTTGAAAGTGCTGTTGCTTATTTTCATGCATATCTGCGTTTGTGCTGAGATGGTCCATGTGTGTTTCAGATTGACCCTAACAGCATTGCAGCCAAGGATGGGCGCATCCGAGAAGGAGACCGCATTATCCAGGTAAGTCCACTTCCAAACAATGGCCTCATAAGGGGCCTATCACTAAAGAGCAAACTGGTTCTAATGATAGGTCTAGGGTTGAAATTTCAGAAGAGGTTAAAGAACAGGGATCACAAACACAGATGTGTAGTGAGGCCAGACAAGTTAAACTAATTGTGAGGCTAAGTCTGAGTCATAAGACACAACAGGGAGTGGTGAGGACTGAGACAAACTAGATGGGGCATGTTCTGTCCAAAGAGGGCCTTGCAAAACTTGAGCTCATTTTCTTTCATTCTATTTGGATCAAAACATCAGTGAGCCAAAGTCAGGCCAACAGTTTACAACTTGTGAACTAACATAATTCTCGTTTTAGATTTCTCTGAAAGATTAACTTTGGACCAAGCATTTCAGAGTCTCGTCCATAAAATGGGAACATTTTTGGCAAATTTAGCAGAATCGATTGAAAAGTCTTATAAATTTTCTGACTCAACATCTAACCATCCTGGAATCGCTTCTGAGGGTCGTCACTTGACCTCGAGCCCTGTTGCTCCGTCTAGTCTAAATGAGACCATTCATGTCTCTTTTGGCTACAACCTTCTTTAATCTCACAGAATTGAGATTCTTGGCTTCATTGTGTCTGCAAGGCTTAGCTTTCTCTCTTCTCATCCATATCCTCTCATTCCTAATCCACCGTGTTTTTCTCATTGCATACCTCACCACAAGTCATTTTGATTTTCTTCTCCCACTGCCTACTCTGGGTTTCTCTAGCCTTCAGCCAGAACCTGTGCTGCTCAGGATCGCTTGCCCTAGGGAAGTGACCCAAACCTTCACACCTGAAGGCTTCACACCTGAAGGGTCAGGGTCCTCAGCATACTGCCTTTTTTTTTTTTTTTTTTTTTTTTGGTTGCTGGAGTTTTCCATTAACCTTTACTAAGAATGGAAGCACTCAGAGGTACTCCAAGGAATCCGCTGGGTTCCAGACACAGTCCTCCCTGCCTCCACTGTATCACACCAAGCTCATTTTCCCTTGGTAATTGAAGGCAATCACTCCAACCAATAGCGTCACCCCTTTTGCTGCCTGTTGGCTCACTGGTGTAAGGAGGCATGTGGAGGGCTCCACTTCCAATTCAATGGAACCATTGCTGTGTTCCCTGGAGGTGGCATTCCACCAGGATTAAGACCTCCAGACCAACAGGGGTCAAAGTCACCAGGACATGCAAGCAGAAATCCTGCAAGAGGGTTAATCAAGTGTGATAGTGAGAGTGTCATGCCCACTTGACCCTCTGCCTGGCCTAAAGAAGTTTAAGTGTCAAACTGGGGACACAAAACACCATGTATAATTCTATTGCCTTTTCTTAACCTCAGTTTCCATAATGTTCACATCAGACCCATTGCTGCTTTTTCTTCTATATTATCCAATAATGTCTACATATATTCCTGCCTGATTATGTCTAATTACTTACATGTTCCCTCTGCACAGCATTATGATTTTTCTCAGTGCTGTCTTCTAGAGGTCCAGCCCCTTCTGTTCACACTCCACACATCCCAGTCACCTCATGAACTACACTCATGGAGGCTCCTTTGTAGACCAGAGAAACTGCATTGCTCTGAGCAAGACTTTTCCTTCCTAAAATCAGTATTCTTTTCCAGCTACAGGGAAGTTTTATGTGCCAGCTGTGAGTGGGTGACAAATGCAGGTCTGAAATAGAATAGAATGATTTTGCACCATCTAATCATACTATTTGTCTCCCCACTCCCCACCACCCTTTTTGTTTGTTTGTTTTTTTAAAGATCAATGGGATAGAGGTGCAGAACCGAGAAGAGGCTGTGGCTCTTCTAACCAGTGAAGAAAATAAAAACTTTTCATTGCTGATTGCAAGGCCTGAACTCCAGGTAAATCGGCTTCCTACAGATGAAACTGGGTCTGTATTTCTAAAATCAAAAGCTCAGGTCCCCAGGCTTGGAAAAGAGCACCTGAGTATTGGCTGTGAACTTGAAGGTGCTTTGTACCCTAGAAATGTAATCAAACTTGCTGTGACTTAGAATCCACTTTATGATTTAGCCATGTAAGGTTGGTTAGATACCCACCCTGACATCTATACTGCAGGCCCACCAGGTTGGTTAATGCAGGGATCATAGGGAAGGAAAAGGAAACAGAATGGAATGGAAAACACAACTGGAGTCATGACCACTGGAGTCATGACCATCAAGACGTTTGACTTCCCAAGGCCTAACGTGTTCCAGCCTTGATCTGTGTAGGTTCCATTTACAATAGCAGAGTATGGGGAATTAAAAATTGCTCTTTCAAAATAAAAGAAATATTGAATGATAAATAATAATTAAAACTGATATGACCACCAAATAAGTGCTAGACTCTCCGTGGATCACTTTACACACAGGAGAGCCCTTCCCAAGAGATGGAAGTTTCCAGAGGTTCAAAAGTTACCCAGAAAAGCCCCAGAAGGAGGGTGATAAAGCAGGGAGGGGTTCAGGCCCAAGTAATCTGATTCAGAAACCACTGTTATAATAACTCCTTCCACAGAAGGAATCATGAACCCTCCCAGGTGGCATTCTTGATCCACTTAGAATGGCTCCAGCAACACATCTAGGGCAGTCCAGTAGTAGATCTCTTTAGGTATGTGTATTACTCCATTTTCATGCTGCTGATAAAGACGTACTCAAGACTGGGTAATTTATAAAGAAAAAGAGGTTTCATGGACTCACAGTTCCACATGGTTGGGGAGGCCTCACAATCATGGCGGAAGGCAAAAGGCACATCTTACATGGCAACAGGGAAGAGAGATGAGAACCAAGCAAACGGGGTTTCCTCTTATAAAACTATTAGATTTCATGAGACTTACTCACTACCATGAGAACAGTATGGGGAAAACTGCATCCATGATTCAATTATCTCCCACAAGGTCCCTCACACAACATGTGGGAATTATGGGAGTTACAATTCAAGGTGAGATTTGGGTGGGGACAGCCAAACCATATCAGTATGAAACCCAGTTGAAAAAGTAGCCTAAAGACAGCAGCATACAGGGCATCTGATTCTCCACAGATGGAAGCCTCATGAGCTCAGAGAGAACTTCAGCTGTCATCTCACCCACAGTCACAAACTTTTTCTTAAAGGTCCAGATAGTAAATGTTTGACTCGGGTGGCCATACCATCTCTGCTAGACTCTCTCACTCTAGTGCAAAAGCAGACATAGACATTTATGTCAGCGAATGGACATAGTTGTGTTCTCGTTAAATGTTTTTTTATTTATAAAAATAGCAGGCTGGATTCAGCCCATAAGCTATAGAGTGCCAACTTCTGAATAGTTCACTCTTTTTAGGGCAAGGCAGATAAAGGCCTTTTAAAAGTGATATCCAGTCAGGCTCAGTGGCTCACGCCTATAATCCCAGCACTTTGGGAGGCCGAGGCAGGAGGATCACTTGAGGTCAGGATGAGGCCCACCTGGCCAACATGGTAAAACCCCATCTCTACTAAAAATACCAAAATTAGCTGGGCGTAGTGGTACATGCCTGTAATCCCAAATCCCAGCTACTCGGGAGGCAGAGGTTGCAGTGAGCCAAGATCATGCCACTGCACTCTAGCCTGGGAGACAGAGCGAGATTCAGTCTCAAAAAAAAAAAAAACAAAAAAACCGTGATATCCTTGCCCAAGCCAAACAGCTAGTTACTGTATCTACTGTATCAGAAAGAACTCTTTTCACACTAAAAATCATTTTTCTATGGGACCTGTTAAACTTGTGTCTGGTCCAGCAAGCAGGGGGAACAGCTAAATCTGACCCTCCTAATCAGGTGTCTTACTGCAGTGAAAGTAGCTGAGATGGATGAAAGAGTTTCACCCTGAAAAAAAAAAATCATGGCTATTAAAGACTTCCCCAGTTTGTAGTACAGGGTTGGAGGTCTCTGTAATGTGAGGGTGGGATAGTTTCCTGACTTAACGGCAAATCATTGGGCAGACTGCATTTTGATGACTCTTGGAGGAAGCCCTGGAAATATTTTTCCCCAAGGTAATGTCATTTTTTAAAAAACATAAATGAACATGAAAGGAAACTTCTAAGGCATGTGTTGGCTGCTCTTGCCTGCAGCTGGATGAGGGCTGGATGGACGATGACAGGAACGACTTTCTGGATGACCTGCACATGGACATGCTGGAGGAGCAGCACCACCAGGCCATGCAATTCACAGCTAGTGTGCTTCAGCAGGTAACGCCCACGCACCAGTCCCTGACACTCTGCCCTGCTGAGCTGGAGGAAAGTCCGCTTCCCCCATCCCCCTTTATGGCGCTAAAGACCATCAGAAGCTTATCCACCTGGAAGACAGCAAGAAAACAGCCTCAAGTACTTTTCTATTTGAGCACCAGACCAGTGAAATGCAAGCTGGTACTGTCCCTAGCTAAGCTTTTAAATCTAAGCACCATTGCCAAAGCAAAGCTGACCTTATGATAATTTGTCTGGAAAACATATGCGTCGGCATTACCATAGATTGGAAAAAGCCATGTTTTCCAAAGTAAGGCAATCCCCTCTGTTTAACCTGAGCTACTTGGCGCTCTCTAGCTCCCTACTGTGCTACTACCATTGTCAGAGTCTTAATGAGCCACTTACTGAGTCCTGTATGAGCTAAACAAGGACCTTTATACATCCTACCTGTGTACTGATTGATTTAACAGAATCATTCATTGAGATAAAATGACTATTATTATCCTTATTTTACAAAACTGAGGACAAGAACAAGAATAAGTGACTTGCCCAGGTAGATATGGGTAAGTGTGGCTAAGGCCCAGGCTCTTGACCTGGTCCTACTGTCAGATGCTGCCCCTCGGTCTTAGAAATGTACAGCCTGCCCTATCCAGAAACACTGCAAGGAAAGGTCAAACCTGAGTACCTGCTGCGTAGGCCTCCCTCACTGTGACCCTTTGTTCTTGTTTTTATGCAGAAGAAGCACGAGGAAGACGGTGGGACCACAGATACAGCCACCATCTTGTCCAACCAGCACGAGAAGGACAGTGGTGTGGGGCGGACCGACGAGAGCACCCGCAATGACGAGAGCTCGGAGCAAGAGAACAACGGCGACGATGCCACCGCATCCTCCAACCCGCTGGCGGGGCAGAGGAAGCTCACCTGCAGCCAGGACACCTTGGGCAGCGGCGACCTACCCTTCAGCAACGAGTCCTTCATCTCAGCCGACTGCACGGACGCCGACTACCTGGGTATCCCGGTGGACGAGTGCGAGCGCTTCCGCGAGCTCCTGGAGCTCAAGTGCCAAGTGAAGAGCGCCACTCCTTATGGCTTGTACTACCCTAGCGGCCCCCTGGACGCCGGCAAGAGTGACCCGGAGAGCGTGGACAAGGAGCTGGAGCTGCTGAACGAGGAGCTGCGCAGCATCGAGCTGGAGTGCCTAAGCATCGTGCGCGCCCACAAGATGCAGCAGCTCAAGGAACAGTACCGCGAGTCCTGGATGCTACATAACAGCGGCTTCCGCAACTACAACACCAGCATTGACGTGCGCAGGCACGAGCTCTCGGACATCACCGAGCTCCCGGAGAAATCCGACAAGGACAGCTCAAGCGCCTACAACACGGGCGAGAGCTGCCGCAGTACCCCGCTCACCCTGGAGATCTCCCCCGACAACTCCTTGAGGAGAGCAGCGGAGGGCATCAGCTGCCCGAGCAGCGAAGGGGCTGTGGCGACCACGGAAGCCTATGGGCCAGCCCCAAAGAATCTGCTGTCCATCACGGAAGATCCCGAAGTGGGCACCCCTACCTATAGCCCCTCCCTGAAGGAGCTGGACCCCAGCCAGCCCCTGGAAGGCAAAGAGCGGAGAGCCAGCGACGGGAGCCGGAGCCCCACGCCCAGCCAGAAGCTGGGCAGCGCCTACCTGCCCACCTACCACCACTCCCCATACAAGCACGCGCACATCCCGGCTCACGCCCAGCACTACCAGAGCTACATGCAGCTGATCCAGCAGAAGTCGGCCGTGGAGTACGCGCAGAGCCAGATGAGCCTGGTGAGCATGTGCAAGGACCTGAGCTCCCCCACCCCGTCGGAGCCGCGCATGGAGTGGAAGGTGAAGATTCGCAGCGACGGGACGCGCTACATCACTAAGAGGCCCGTGCGGGACCGCCTGCTGCGGGAGCGCGCCCTGAAGATCCGGGAAGAGCGCAGCGGCATGACCACCGACGACGACGCGGTGAGCGAGATGAAGATGGGGCGCTACTGGAGCAAGGAGGAGAGGAAGCAGCACTTGGTGAAGGCCAAGGAGCAGCGGCGGCGGCGCGAGTTCATGATGCAGAGCAGGTTGGATTGTCTCAAGGAGCAACAAGCAGCCGACGACAGGAAGGAGATGAACATCCTCGAACTAAGCCACAAAAAGATGATGAAGAAGAGGAATAAAAAAATCTTCGATAACTGGATGACGATCCAGGAACTCTTAACCCACGGCACAAAATCCCCGGACGGCACTAGAGTATACAATTCCTTCCTATCGGTGACTACTGTATAATTTTCACTTCTGCATTATGTACATAAAAGAGACCACTACCACTGGGGTAGAAATTCCTGCCTCGTTCAATGCGGCAAGTTTTTGTATATAAGATAAATACGGTCTTCATGTTTATAGTCCAAATTTGCAGACCCTACAACTCTGGGTGTCATAGGTCTATTTTAAGGGGGGAGAGAGAAAAACACCCTTACTATCTTGGAACGCAATATTAACAAACAGAGCTTTTTTCAAATAGCAATTGTACTTTTCTACCTGTACCCTTTTACATAAAGTGTTTAAATTTCAGAAAGATCTTTTATTAAGCATACTTTCACAGAATAATTTGTTTAAACTATATTCATATTAAAAAGTTAAACACGCTTTTTTTTCCTGCCTAAAAACACAAATACAACTGCCAGTATGTATTTTTAATGGAACCCTATTTTATAATGTTACGTTACTGAATGCGTTTCATATGCGTGACCGTTAAGATACTATTTAGGTGAAGGTTTCAACTCAAAACCACCCAACCCGGTGGTTAACGATTTCATACACATAACCAAACCGGCAGCATTTAGAGTTGGGATATACATTTAAACATTTTCCTGGTTAAGGTTCCCAAGAGAGTGTAAAGGTTTTAGCAGAAAGCAAAATATCATGCAGCTTTATGGAAGTTTAAAGCATGTTTGCAAATATTGCAGCCCATTGAAAGAATTTGCATGTACAGGAAAGTTGTGGATGGAGATGGTTTGTGGAATTTTAAGTGCTCACTGTAGTAAACTTTTCCTTTGTAGATTTGAAGGTACAGACTTATACAAGCAAGTTCACAAAATCATGATTAGTTACAAACATTAAGTAAAATGAAGTTAAAATAAATTATTATTTTCTATTTGATATGTTTTGATGTGATTCCTCATTTTGCAGTGGTGCCTATAAAATAAAAGCCTTTTGCAGTGTTTGCTTTTTTTCCCTTGGTTGTATTACCTGCTACTTTGGAAGGATTTAAGTATTTTAGACCATCTGATGCCTTCGCATTCAGCCTCATGGATATAAAGCCAAGGTCTAGCAGTGAAGAACACAGGGTCAAATTTACCATACAACCCTGCATTCTGACTACCTGTCTCACAGAAAGTTTCAGCCTGGCCCAATATCCTATAAACAAGAATAGCTATGAGCAAGTTTATCAATCAGGGCCATGTTTACAGTGAAATCGCTTTCGTTTATTGCAACCATTACTGCCTGTCAGTAATAACTAACACTCCGGGTGGCTAGGTCCAGCTTTTCATTTCTAAGATGCATCTGCAAATCAGGCAATATTTGCATAGAAAAACAGGGGTCACCAAACTGGGTGGGCTTCAAATCTGGTATCTTTCTGACTACTGTAACCACCAGGATCCTAAATAATGAATTTGCTACAAATCATTTCCTGATTGATTGTAATGTTTACACCAATTTCAGCTGTAATACTTACTGAAGAAAAAGTAAGATACAGATAGGATTAGGATGGTGTCATTTTTATTTGCCATGATGCCATACATCTGGTTTACTGTCTGATCCAAATGGAATTTGGATTGAAATGACCAGGTGTTTTAGGCATTTCGGACATATATTCCTCTCACAGACCCTGCTCCAACCACAGTCCCTCCTTTGGGGCCAGAACCTTGAGACTAATTAGTAGTCACTCTTGTAATAAACCAACTTAATGAAAATAAAACACTGAAATACTTATTCCTCATTATTAAGATGTCTGTTCATTACCTCTTCCAGAACCAGGCATTGTTATGATAATTACATCTGCTGCATTACTCTAATCAGCCCTCCAAGGTGAAATTTTTGCAAAAAGTGTACTATTAGGGCCTCGGTTTCCTGATATTCTCCGTTTTAACTTTCCACAAAATCGGATCCTTACCTCCTCCCAGGAGAAGCTCCCCTTTCCCAGTCCTGTCACCTCATACCCTGTCTTCCTAGTTAATGTTTCACAGTGAACAATCATCAGTCAGATGAATTATAAATTGCTGCAAAGCATATATCAGCATATGAGTTTACATGGGGAAATAGCTTTCCTCCCCTTGTGTGTTCTCATTGAAGGCCAAAGGGGGCTACATGGCCACAGGAACAACTTTAGCCTAAACAGTCAAGCACAGGGTTTGTTTTTGTTTTTGTTTTTGTTTGTTTTTTGAGACCGAGTCTCACTCGTCGCCCAGGCTGGAGTGCAGTGGTGTGATCTAGGCTCACTGCAAGCTCCGCCTCCCGGGTTCATGCCATTCTCCTGCCTCAGCCTCCCGAGTAGCTGGGACTACAGGCGCCCGCCCCCACACCCGGCTAATTTTTGTATTTTTAGTAGAGACGGGGTTTCACCATGTTAGCCAGGATGGGCTCGATCTCCTGACCTCGTGATCCGCCCGTCTCGGCCTCCCAAAGTGCTGGCATTATAGGCGTGAGCCACCACGCCCGGCCAAGCACAGGGGTTTCTAACCAGGGCTCCCCATGTGTCTCTGGATTTGGGGCTCAGCTCCTGCACTTATGAAAAAGTAGAGGGAAATAATAGGATGCATTCAAATCCAATTCTAAATCCTTTGATTTCAACTTATTTTTAAATCACTTTATCATCTAGATATACTTAGTCATAACATTCTGTGTAATATGAGGCTTCCCAAATCTAATTTAACCAATTAACTTATAAAAGAAATTGGAAGAGATCTTAGAAATCATCACTTTATCAATGAACAGGGCACTCAGGGAGGCAAAGAAATGCAGTGCAGCTCATTCATAACCAAACTGGGATTTGAACTCAAAACCCAACACCTGGTTCCACAATTCTTAGCACCCCATACTCTGGAGAATCAACCTCATGTTGACGGTTAACTTAAATGCATTAAATCCTGTGCCCTCGACCAAGCAACAAATGCATTTCACCAATGGATGCCCCAGAGTGAACATAAGAGGAATCATGAATCTGCCATTTCTTCAACAAGTATGAGTTCCAAGTGCCTCACAGTGCATTTCTTAGCTGGCGGTCAGGATGAAAATTTTCCTGGGTAATAGTGATGAGACAATTTCTAGCTTCCGTTCTCACTGATGTAAAGCCCCAGCTTCTGTGTAAACAGAACATCCACTATAACGAACAGGCCTTTCTACCACCCTGGCCGCATGTACTTTACTTCCTGGGCCCATTGAAGGATCTGATGGAAGCTATAGATTCTATTTGCAGAAAATTAAAAAGTGCATATAATTGAAGACTTCACATACCCCCAAAGTCCATTCACAGATCCCCTCTAAGCATGTAAGAACCCCAAGTTTAGAATAACCAAATTTGATAGCTTTATAGGTTTTTTATTTCTCAGACTTTTATTTCAGCTGCATCTTACACACACTATTTGATTTGAATGCCTATTTTTCATATCAAGGACTACTTTTCTTCCTATTAGAACTATACTGTTTAACACAATTAAAATTTAGCAAATCACTAGTACCTATAACTAGTACCTATACTCTTCCAGTCATAGTGCAGTTTTTCTGACACCTACATAAATTGAGGAATGATGAATACAGATTTCTGATTCTCGATAGCAGCCAACCCACTGGTTGGATGACTCAGGTTTAAACTAATTCTAAAATACAAAGGGAAGGAAATGAGAATGTATTGACCATCTGAGCTGCACTGCCTAATACCCGTAGCCACTAGCCACATCTGGCCATTAAGCAGTTAAAATGTGGTTAGTCCAAATTGAAATGTTCTGAGAAAATGGATTTCAATGACTTTGTATTCAAAAATGAAAAATATTTTGATAATTTTTATGTAGAAATCATATGTTGCATATGTTGGATTGAATAAAATGCATAGTTATCACTAATTGAACCTGTTTTAACTGTTTAATGTAAATGCTAGAAGATTTTTAATTACATATGTGGCTTGCGTTATGCTTCTATTGGGCAGCACAGATACAGAAAATATCAGGCAAGTACATGCTAAACCCTTGTCCTCATCATCTCGCTAAATCCTTGGGGCAGTTTCATGAAGCAGATGCTTCATCAATAGTTAAGACTCAGATTAAAAACTTTGCCCAGACAAGTGTAAAGATGTGATTTGAACTGGCATCTACCTATTACCAAACCCTTTACCTGTGCATCCATCTCCTCCTAAGAAGCAATTCAAAGTATGTTCAGTTTAGGTTAATATTTGTAACATATTCATAATCACAAAGAAATTACTTCAAAGTAGCAAACATTTCACTCAGTTCCCTTTGAGTTCTAAATTGCAGAATATTCTAACTCTCTTGGCAAGAACACATGACAATGAATAAATATCTAGGAATGTGGGGGCACAAGCTAAGTTTTTCATCTTTTAAATGGAAACAGGAGATCCCAAATAGCAAAAATCATAAATATGATGAGGTGGGATTATACATCGCCTAAGGAATACTAGTTGGAGAACTAATTAAGACTATAAACTGAAATATGAAAATTAACCAAGTAATTATCTACTTGTAGCCTTCAGAAGTAGGTTACAGGTTACTTGTTAGGAACATTGCCCAAAACCAAGGAAGCAAACAATTCTGCCACAAGCAGCTGAGACTCCCACTTTTATTTCTGTTTCTCGGTTTTAAGTATTTTAGGATTTCTGTGGAGCATCAAGTAATTAAAAAGAAAATCACTAAAACTGAGATAAGATACAAGAATTCTCCTGGCAAATGCTATAGTCTTCAATTTTGATTAAATGTGAATTCCCTAAAGCAGTTATAAAACAAAGTGTAGTTCTCTGAGTTTCATTCAAATGGGGTTTTTCTGCTTAAATGGTTCATTTTCTTTAGCTTCTAGTTGCAACTAATCCTGAAAGGGCACAGTCCACAGGGACATGTGGTTTGCCTATAATGTGGTTTTGCCTTTCAATAGAGAATGCTGACCTCCGTGCACTCAGCATCTTTTTAAAATGAAAAACGGGGAATTAATGATCCCTCCTTCACTGGGGCTATTGCAAATTTAAACTTGCTCACCAATTAGTAAGTCTCGCTAAAATCCTCAAAAGCCAAAGGAAACTCCCTAAACCTCATCAGAGTCTCTCAAAAATATACTAGGAAGTAATTAAATTGTGTTTTTAGTTCTCTTTGGAGAACTACACGTCTCCCAGACATTGTGGGTTTGACTTAGCAGTTTCAGCTCTGTAGAATTATGACAACCTTATGCATCCAGGAGCCATGTCAGAAACCAGCACGGATTCCTTCATCCACTAGTTACTATGTGCATACTCAATCTAGGGCCATGGGGAGGTCTCTGCAGCTCATGGTCCAGTGAGAAAGAAAACAGTAATCCAGCCATCACACAAATACTTACAAACATCACACAAATACGCACTCAACAAGATTAGAGTAAGGGTCAGATAGGAGAGCCAGTGCCACAGATTTCAGAGAGGGTCTCCCTTAAAAAGTTATGGTTGATCTGAGAGTCAATAGATGAATGTGAGTTAACTAGAAAGGTAGTTAAATACAGAAAATAGCATGTACAAAGGTCCTGAAGTGAGAGAGATTTGGCCTATTTGAAACAAACAAAAAAAGGCAGGTGTGACTTGAGCTCAAAAACAATGCAAAAAGAATAGAGAGAATTGAGTGTGTAAAGACAGGCAGTTAGGAAGGAATGACACTGTCTACCTGACCATAAATACCTATTCATTATGGTCAGCCTTTATTGAGCACCTAATATGTGCCGGACACTGCTAAGTCTTTTACGTGTGCTAACCCCCTGAACCATAAGTAGCCTACCTGATGGGTGGCACTGTTCTTATTTTGTGAATAAGGAAATAAAGAAGGCTTAGAAAAGCAACCAGCTGGTGCATGGTTGAGGGGAAAAGTGAAGCCATCTCTCTCTGACCCCACTGAATCACTGGGCTGCAAGTAGCAACTCCACGACAGGCACTATGGAAAAGGCTCATATATTTCAGCAGATGCCTAATATCTGGAGACC